CAATACTACAGCGAGAATAAAAGCTACGCCTTCTTTCTTTGCGTAAACATTTGGGCGGACTTATGCAAATCATCCAACACAGTGACGTAGATTTGTGGAGGCGTGAGGCGTTTTAGGAAGGCGTGGACGAGTCTTAACTTTCACAAAGAATATCTCTTTGGGTTTGAGACTTTTAATCTTTGCAACTTCACGAATCTTATATAGCTTCTAACACTTTGTAACACTGCAAAAACATGAAATTGCATCATATGACCCCTTTAAATTGTACAAGAAAGTCTTAATTATGATATCAATTGTATGCATTTGTCATTTTTATTTCGATTTCATTAAATAAACATGAGCGCTACACGTTTCAAGGTCAGCTGCTGTGCTGCTTTGTGTACTTTGTGTACAAATCCTTTGGGTATTTTATAACAAAAATCCTACATATTGTGCCGTTAACAGGGAAACGGTTATATTTCTGCCGTTCCGAAAGCACCACCTGCTGGCAGAGAATAAATGTGCATTTTCAATAAGCCCTTCTTCTGTAGATGACTCATCTTGAACGCCTCTGATTGGCCATTGCGTTCATAAACTCAACAGACTCGTGTGTGATTGGTTATAATACGCAACACTGTAAAAACATGTAAAAAGAATCTAAATTTAATGCTGCAGTCAACACTTCATTTAATTTTCATTTTATTCGCGACAGCCATTATGGGTTTAGTTTAACTGTACAGCAGCATTTTTTTTTTTAGTTCTATGGAGCTGAAGCCGAGGATAGTGCAGATATTACGTCATTGATTGAAGACTAGGGAGGAACAGGAACGAGTCATTATTTAAAATGGGAATTTCTCTGGATTTACAAATCCTTGGGAACTTTTGGGACAACGCAAGTACACGGCTGCATGAAACACATCACACTGTGCAAGTGGTTTTTGGATATTTTATAACAAAAATCCTACATATTGTGCCTTTAAATTAATATAATAATTAATACTTTCGACTCATCCATTTTCTTAAAAATGATTTAAAGGCTGAAATGTGAAGTGTATCATTTTATAAAACTTTCTGTTTTTGTGAAAACTTGTATCTGAACTAAATCTTGCCTTTTTACAGTAATTTTACAGTTTAATATGTTACTATAAACATTGCCCTACCCCGCTCGTATGGTATTAATTTTGTTTGTGCAGGTCTTAAATTTGAGCTTAAAAATCCTGCAGAAACCCTGATACAGAAAAGTCACAAGGAAGACAATGCTGAATATAGATTTTTCTACTACAGATGGCCCTTTGTGACTCTATAAAATGACTTAAAGGGGTCATATGATGTGATTTCAAGTTTTCCTTTCTCTTTGGAGTGTTACAAGCTCTTGGTGCATAAAGAAGATCTGTAAAGTTGCAAAGACTAAAGTCTCAAATCCAAAGAGATATTCTTTATAAAAGTTAAGAGTCAGCC